ATGCCACTAGTGGTTCGGAAAAGTTTACTGTTCACATTTTCGTATCCTTATTTGTATAAATTAGAAATTGGTCTTACGGTACCACCAGATAACGCTCAGCCTGAAGGCTCCGAATAGTTTAGCAAATGGAAGATCCAGCAAAGAACAGAAACTGACAGCCTACAGAAACACACCTGTTGTAATGAGGACAATAAGGCTCGTAAGTTGCCTTCTTTTCCTGCAGCCCAACACCTTATATTGTTGTCCAGAGTTTCTGCAAGCCTCTGAAAGGTATAGGATTACAGAAAAAAAACTAAGAAACATTAACAGAGAATCCTATTAATCAGGTGTGGAAAATATATGTGCTTATGATTTTTGTGTGTGCCTGAGAGAGTTAGAGGTGGGTGGGTGAGGAGGATTGGGAATTACTCGTTTCTCTTCCTGCTCATTCTGGTTCTGAAGATCCCGCTTATTCTTTTCAGCAAGTGCTTCTGCCTGAAAACAATAACCATAAAATCATCAAATCCAAAGCAGATAACAGGAGAAGTATCAATCCTAAAAGACAGTAACATCGTGCAAAAGCAAGGACTATAAAGTAGATGTAGCACCCATTTTGTATGTCATGGATAGTTCCATTACAATAGCCAAAGGTTTATCAAGCAATACAGCTTACTATGCTAAACAAGTCATGACAAGCTAATTGATCTGGTACCATAGAACCGTAAATGAAGAGATGAAGTCTGAAGGAAGCATTCATTTTGTCCAAAAATTAAGATGGAATATTTGGGTATTATCATGCTACGGAGTTCGCCTCTAATAAGAAGAGGTAACAAGATTTCGTATATCACAATAAATTCAGCTCAATCAATGCTGAAGCATCAATAGTTTTCATGCTTACAACTCTGGCATTTCAGAAGTACAAATTTCAGCAAACATACTGTTGGTTAAGAACAGATTGCAGTGATGATTAACATACTGTTGGTTAAGAACAGATTTCAGCAAACTAGATTAACACGATTGTCTGAGGAAATGCATGGAGAATAAATAGTTTGCAAAACTAAAACTTACCATACGCTCATTCATTCTCATATGACGATTAAGCCTCGCTCTACGTCTTTCTTCAGGTTCCCCATCAATTTCCTGAAACTCTTCAGATGAAGTGGTCATATCTGCACAGAGGGGAGGAACAACACAATATAACATAGTTCAGAAAATACCAACATAGCACAACATGGCATCCATCATATAAGGAATTCACGCGGATCCTGATTAACTGATTATGGCAGGCAGTAAAATGCTAACTAACAAGGATACATAATGAAGTATATAAATATCTTCAAGTGGAACTCAGTTCTATTTCTCACTATGGTAATAGTTCCAATTAATAACATGAAGAAGCTCAATCAGATGTAAAATAACAGCAGCCTTTTCTGATTTCAAATGAAAGAAGATGAATATCTACATGTCAGTTCGATTATCAGCACTATTCACAATTCAAAAAATGCAAAAAAAAAAAAAAAAGAACAACAAACAAAAACAAACAAACAAATATTTCTCCAAACAACTGTGAATGTGCACTGCAACTGGATTGATTTGATTATCTTGTTTATATTGATTTAATTCAAAGTACCCCCAAATAATGCAGTGAAGTTGTCCTCAATATTTCTTGCAGCAGAAGTTTGCTTCTCTTCAGGCTTCTTTTCCCCACCAAAAATGTCAAAATGTGAATCCTAGACATCAGATCACAATATAATTTAAAAAAAAAAAAGAGTCAATCAATTTTTGGAAAGAGCATCACGATATAGAAAATCAATTCCAGACTTAACTGTCCACCTGATTAGTAGAAGTTTGTGCAACATGCCTTTGTTGCACGCCCTCACCGAAAAATGCGTCCAGATCATCGACATTCTGAAACCTGCTTGAAGCTTTGCCTGCACTTGGCTGGCTAGCTGTGGTCATTTTTTCATCAGATTTTAAATTATTCTGGCCTCTATCCATGGCGAAATCATCGAGTTCTTCAAGTGAACTCTGAATGGGATCTTTTGTTGTATCTTGTTCTGAGGAGCCAGCAAAGGCATCTGATTGAGTTGATTGAGTTACAGATGATTCAAAAACCAAAAATGGATCATCTCCAAGGGTTGAGCTAGTGTTAGATGAATGGTCATTGGATCCTGAAGGGACAGTCTTTGGTTGTACTCTGTTAGACATGCAAAAACAAAACAGTTATTAACAGAAGACAACACACAGACACACAAACTAAAAGAGAAACATATATAAGCAAAGAATATCACACCTGCACACATTTCACAGCTGGATAGTGTGCCAAGAAAATAATTAACAGTGACGATAACAATTTCTGCAGGCATGATGATTACAACTAAGTTCAGGTGATTCTTGATCATTTATCCTCTAGTAAAAAATGTTACCTAGCATCAAGTGTGTTTGGTGTAATTTAAAAGGAGCCCTACAATTTCCAAAAATTACCATATCACGAAAAGCAAAAACAGGAGACCAAGATATAAGAAATACAAGCCTTTCCTTCTACTTTCATCAATTCATACCAACTTGATAAAAGATGACTCTGCTTTACGACACACATCAATAACGACCATCAACTTGGAAATAGACAAAACATAGTATTTGAAATGTAGTAACTGAAATCAAGTAAAGGCCACAGAAAATCTCATATCACAATGAACTATCAAAGCATGATCCACGAGACTCCAAAACTCACAAGCTACTTACAAGTCTCAGCTACACGCTTTCAGTAGCTAGCATCTTACTGCATAATAACAACCAACTAGCCCTCTCACCAATTTCAATAGAACATGAACATATGAATAAATCAGAAAACAAACATCCAATTATCAACACACCCTTTATTCGTATGGCTGGCTCCTCCATATCCCGGTATCAACTCGTCGAGTTCAGATCCTTTACTCTCCTCCTTTCCACTAGAATTCATTCCAAAATCGCCCAGCAAATCACCTACAGAACCCCCTTGCCTCGGCCGTGACCCAAACATATCATCATGATCATCAACACCAGCAAACTTCCTCAAATTCGAATTACCATCATCAGCCCCGTTATTGGAGACACTAAGCACAGATTCCAAATCAATTTCTCCGAATTGATTGGAACTGGAGACGTTCGCACCAAAAACATCACTATCGCCTAACAAATCCTGCGATTGCCGATTTTTGTCGATGTTTAAATTTGATCTGAAAATCCCGTCCAGCTCATCGACGGGAAACGCAGAGTGGTCACTCAACGGCGGCGTATTGGGAGAGCTATAGGCGGCGAAATGTGATTCGGGTTTGGGTTTCGATTTGGCCATGGGGGCGGCTTTTCCATGGGCTTTGAACCCAATACTCTCCACCAAAACTCCAAATTCATCCATGGCGGTCGGAGCCAATATGGAGACTCAGCTGGAAACGTTACTGATGGATGTATACCAGTGTGTGCGCGCGTGGGTTAGTGGGGATGACGAAGAGAAACGAGCGGCAAAAATTAGCGGCGAAGTAAAGAATATAGATAATTAAGGCAAGGAAAATAAAACTACATTATATATACGGATGAATGTTCTAGACTCAATTTGGTATGGCTTGTTTAACAAATGAAAAATCATACTCCCTCATTTTCAAAATAAGTGTCGTTTTGACTTTTTTGATTCATCCATTTTGCTATGTATCTAGACATAAATGAATTTTACTATGTATCTAGACATATTTATGTCTAGATACATAGCAAAATGGATGAATCAAAAAAGTCAAAACGACACTTATTTTAAAAAGGAGGTAGTAATTAATTGTTAGACAAAATAATTTGTGCAACATGCTATTGTTTGTCCAAACTTAAAGAAAGTAAATGAATTGTTAAATAAACATGTTCAATTAATTATTCAATTTCGACTCGTTTAAGTAAATGAAACAGTTTTTGATCTTTCTAAATCGAGTTATTAGTGATTATGCTGACCAACGTCGGTTCTAGAACAGTTTAACCTAATATATTGCACGTGATTGAGTTGATTACTCAATAATTCATAACTCGTCTCGACTCTAGTCCTTATATACTCGACTTGTTAAGCTTAGGAGTCGATAATTATAAGTGAGGTTGAGTTCGGCTAGTTAAGAACTCGAGTGTTAGTAAATTGGATTATGCTAAAGGGGTGTTTGTAAATAAAGTAATTTAATTCATACTCAGCTTATAATCAAAATTTAATTTAACCTCACTACTTTCAATATTAATCAATCATTCTTATGCATAACATCAATTTTAATTAATTCACTATTGATTCACCAACATATTGTTAACTAATCGTCTATTCACATGATCCCTTTCATGCTTTTATATTAAATCAACTTTAATTATTATTTCTAAATACTATTTTAATATGCACTGCCCTAGTTTATGGTGCGTCCATGCGAAAACCTAGAAAGATCCCTCCCTGACAGCCTTATGGCTAAGGTCCAAAATATAGAAGAAAGAAGCGTTACATCTAAAAATTTAACTAACAACTAACTATACGTCATTTTTAAAATTAACTATTGTTAAAAAAGAAAAATAAAAAACTCAATTTGTTTTGAGCAGTTATATTTATATCCAATTACAACATAATAAGTGTTTAAGAAATTACCTAAAGTTATATGTGAAATGTTATAGGTACATAATATTGTACATAAGGGTGTACATAACACTCACATTTAGTGAGACCTACCAAAAATAAAAAATCAAGTAGATCCCACTTCATGTGAATATTATGTACACCTCTATGTACATTTATTATGTATTTGTAACATTTTCCAAGTTATATTTATCAAAAGCCTTAACGAGCTTGATTCATTGACTCAAGGGTGCTTAAACGAGCTCGAGCTTTGC